CGTTCAAATCGAATGATTCTTTATTGTTCTTCTTAAACAATTTTTTTATCGTTCAAGACGAACAATTCTTTATTGTTCTTCTTGAATGATTTTTTTATTATTCAAGTTGAACAATTCCTTATCGTTCTTCTTGAACGATTTTTTATCGTTCAAGTTGAACAATTCCTTATCGTTCTTCTTGAATGATTTTTTTATCATTCAAGTCAACTCGAGTCAGCTCGAATCAAGTCGAGTTTAAATCGAGTTGAGTTAAATATTTAACTCAACTCGAATTTGGCTTGACTTGCAAATCATCAAGTCAAAAAAATATAAACTTAACTTGATTTGAACTCGACTCAGTTTATCTGACTCGTGAGTTAACTTGACTCATCCAGAACTCTAACTATCCTTTAATAATAAAAATAAATTGGAGATAATTACTCTGATTTTGATATTTTTATTGATAATAATAATATAAAAATTACTTTATATAAAAGTAATTTATTATTAAACTTTATTACAAATATTTTTATTATAATTAGCATTTTAATATTTATCATATCAAACTACTATTAGTGATTTAAAAGATGAAGATTTTACTAAAATAGTAATAGAATATAAAAATACTACTTCAAAAAATTAAGAAAAGTTTAAATTGTAAGTATAACTTTAATTTTAGGTTTATAATTACAATGATTTGTATTATTAAAAGAACTAAAAAGAAAAAATAAATTAGCATGTAATAATGTGATTCATTGCATTTTATTTTTCTTCTAAAGATTTCTGCTTTTTATTAGATAATAGTATGCCTTTATTCTGTTTTCTTAATTTTTATTATTTTTCTTTCTTTTGATAAATTTTATTAGTAATCCTTTCATTTCTTAAATAAGTTTTTAGTGTCTAAGTATTATTTATTTTGAAAACATAAGAAGCAAATTTTCATCTTATGATTACATTACATTGGTAATACAATTAATTATGATGTTAAAAGTCATTATTGATCCCTGAAAATTTTGATAATACCAATGTTCACTTTGTTAGCATGCTCCCATATAATCTATTTTTAAATATAATCAAAATTATATACTATTTTAAGATTAACTAAAATAATGTAATTACTGTATATTTTATTATTTCAACTTTTATTTCTATTTGTAAATAAAAAAAGGATACAGTATAAAAAAAAATATTTATAAAAGCGCCAATGATACGGAATAAAGCGAGCTATACGCAGCAAATTGTTACACACACAGAGTTTTTACTGCAATACCGCAAACAATAATTCAAAGTCGTGCTTATATATATACAATATATATATACATATTTTTTTTAGATAATCCTCTAAGGAAAGAGTTAAGAAATCTGGGTTGAAAAATCAAAGTGTTTTTTTTCGTTTCTGTTCCCATTTAATTATTTGTTTTTACTTTTGAGTTCTTTTTTATTGCATCTTCCCCTTTTCTCATGGACGAGAACAAGTCACTACCTCTCCATGTTACAGGAATACTCATTTATCGTATACAAAGACAAGTTGAATTTTTATTTTTAAACGATACTTTTTCTCATAAAAGACATTGGACCGCACCGAAGGGTACAGTAATTCGTCAAGAAGACGAAGTAAAGTGAGTTTTATATTTATTTGAACAATAGTTTAAACTAATTCTTCTACGCGCGTTATCTTAGATTTTTTTTTCTACGCATTTTCACGTTGAAACTGTTCTATTCCCTATTTTAATAAAGTTCCTCTTAAATTTGTTTTTAAATTTGTTCCAAGACAAATCGAATGATTTCTTTCAAAATGATTTGATCTGTAATCATTTTAAATATTACTTAAGTTACTAAATTTTTTATTTTAGATGCGCTCTTCGTAATACTATTGAAATCACTGGTCTTTCCGTAAAAGATTTAAGAATAGAAGAAGGTTTTAGAGCTGAAATAACTTATCTTTCCGGAACGCGGTAATTATCTATCTTTACAAATTGATATAACTAAAATAAAAAAAGGAATATTGAATGAATTTTTACACAATGATTTATATCAGACCCAAAAGAGTTGTCTATTATCTTGCACAAGTATCAGATCATGCTCGCGTTTATACTACTGGTGAAGGTCTTAACATCGCGTGGCTATCTATTAATAATGCTATGGAAAAGGCATTATATAAAAGCATGCAGGATGTTATCAAAAAAGCATCAATTTTTATTGAAAACCATAAACCTCCTAAAAATACTGAATCTTTACAAAGGTCTAGAATTGATAAACATCAAATCACCGGCGATAGGTTAGATCATAAAATGAAAAATTTAAATTTGGCTTTACCCTTAGATTCTCAACGTCAAGCAATGTCTGAACAAAGACTTAAGCTTGTACGTAAACAACAACGTCAAAATCAGAATCAATCCGAAAAGAATAGTGGAATTGTAAATGGAAATGGAAATAATGGTGGTAATGGACCAAATAATGGATTCGCATCACCACTTCACTCCCCTGTTATGCAATTTGAAAATCCACTTTATAAAACAAGATTATGTGAGCGTTTTGAAACTGAGGGGTATTGTCCTTATGGCCCAAAATGCACTTTTGCCCATGGCACCGTTGAATTAAGAGAAAGACCGGCAAATGCAGAGGAGAAGATTGATACATCCCCTACCGCAAAAGATGGTCCAGATAATCCTTTATATAAAACTCGTTTATGTGAAAGATTTATGAAAGAAAGTTTTTGTCAGTATGGGCCTAAATGTAATTTTGCTCATGGGGAACATGAATTAAGGGATAGACCTAATAATCCCGCCACGAGTAATCCTCGTGGAGGTGATAGTGGTAGTGAACGCAAATCTCCTGAACCTCATCGTCCTATTAATAATCAACAATATTCTTCTCAACATCAATCTGAACAACAACATCATGGTCGTTATCAGCATCCACATCATCAAGCACGTCTTAATGGTAGTAATAATATCGAGCCTGAAAGGAGGACTATTCCCGTAAGTCCCGGAGGATTTCGTTCTGAAATCCAGAATGGTATTTTAGGACGTATTCCGATTATTGCAAATTCTGATTCACATTCTACAGTACATAACAGGTAATTCATTATATAAATTGTTTTTTTCTTTTGTATAAAGGGGAGGTTAACATAATTATAATATAATCAATCATGTAAGTTGTAAGGTTAATGTATAATATAATACTCAATTATCATCTTAATTAGATGTATATTTGTAATATATCATATACTCATTGTATTATGTATGACAGGCATAAAAGCCTATCAAATGTCATTACTATATATACTTTTTAAGACTATTTGTCGTTCTGTCTTTTTAGTGCTCACGTAGAAGAATCAAAACCCGAAACGCTTGAAGAAGATATAAAAGTGGAAATATTACCTGAAGAAATTAGAGAGGAAGTTGAACATGAGATCAAAGAAAAACATAATGAATCCAAAGAACATGAAGAACATCGTGAGGTAAAGGATAGTAAGGATTTATCCGTTACTCCTTCCACTGTGTCTGGTAAACCCATAAGCAGCTCTAAACGTCGTTCTGGTAAAGATATTATCAGTGTGGATGAAAAGGTGATTTAATTGATTTAATTGTATAAAGGTTATCTATTATAATACTTATTCTTTCATTTATTAATGTAGCCATGGATGCAAGTTGTAGAACTTTCTAATGTTGAACTAGAACAATTAGGAAAGATGTAAATATACATGGACGATCGATTATTTCCCTTTCTATGAAATTAATATTAACAAATGCTTTCTCTTAACCCTTAACTATATTTTAGTAAGAAGATAGATCATGCACCTTCATTCGATAGTAAACGTTCTCACGATGATATTATTATTGCAGATTTGAAAAAATTTTTTGTTCAATCAAAAGAACAAAATAAATCAATATCAGATGAAATTAAAGAAATTACTTTAATTGAAACAAGAAAAGATTTATCCAAATTCCAATTATTTAATGTTTTACTTCCAAGTATGTACGATGATATGTCATGGGATGTTGTTAATAAAGATTTAGCACAAAAAGAAAAATTATTTAAAACGGTATGAATTCGTTTTTAATTATCGCAATATTTCTATGAATTTTAATTATTAATTATTAACTTATATTTATATTTATTTTTATATACTTTTAAGTTTATCCGAGGAATTCAAGACCAAGTTACATTTTTAAGATCATGGGAAAAATATTTAAACACACGTAATGCTAAATTATTATCGAGAGCTGCTTTACTTTTTAAATATTTTTATGATAAAGATTATGTTGAAGAAGATTCTGTATTGGAATGGTATGATCAAGCTAAGGATACTAGTGATGTAAAGAAAAGATGTGCTGTATTTGTTGAGTGGTTAAAAAATGCCGAAGAAGAAGATTAAGGGAATATTTTCGTTCCGTATTTTTTATGTCTCTCATGGAGAAACTCAATATTATTATTATTATTATTTATTAATAACATTATTAAATTTATATTTTAACTTCGTTATATATATAATTTTATTTTTTTTGAATTTGCCGTTCGGGTTGGATGAATTGCAAATTATTTTTCGATAGGCAATTACACGTGACTTCATTTGCATCTTAAGTTCGAAATTTTTAATTAAGAAATTTACATAATAAATTAATAAAAATAATTTATACATTATCAAATTCATCACATTTTATTAATTTCAACTAATTACCGAACAAATCATTCAAATACATTTTATTTTTAATTGTAGAAAAGTCTAAGAATTTTGAAATCATTTTATTTACAAATTAAGAAGTGCTAATTACATTAAATTTTTTATAAAAATTTGCCTAACTAATCTATGTTATTAATTTTATAAGAAAAAAAAGATTAATAAGGATATTTTGAATTATTACATAATATACATATCATCGATTTTAACAATCTTTCATTTATGACACGTTATGAAGTTCATTATACAAACTGTCTCAATCTTCATATACGCCATCCCTAGCAGCACGCCATAACTCATCGTGTATGGTTTTGATTTCTTTCTCTAATTGCGAGTATTTTTGCATTAATTTGTTGGCGGTGGAACCTTCCCCAAATTGCTTCTCGATCTCCCTTAATAAAGTCTCTTGCGTGGATCCCTTTTTTATTGAGTTTATAAAACTATTATAAGAATTTTCAAATCCACTGAGATCCTCAAAAACTTTTTGAATATCGTTTTCCATTTCTTCACAACGTTTTCGTGCATACTTAAATTCTTTAAATGTATTTATTATTTGTCCAGGCTTCCACTCAGATGATATTGATTGTCCATTTTTTTTACTTATCCCTTTATCTTTCTTGCTAGAAGAGGAGTTAGTTCCTTCAGACATTGATAGTTGTTCATTATCGTGCTTGAAAGTAGTAGATGGTACAGCAGGCTTAGGAGCGGCTGAAGTCTTCGTCGTGGAAGTGTGGGTCTTTGTACTTCGTGATGACTTATTTGGTACGCCAGCAGGTCTTCCTCTTTTTGCTCGAGATGCCGTCGATTGCGCAGGAGGAGCATTTACTTTTTGTGCGTCAAATGCTATAGTTTTAGCACCTCGACCTCGTGTTGATTTTCCACCTCTGGTCGTTTTGCCGCCTCGAGTCGCGTTACTTCCTCGAGTGGAAGTGGACGACGCAGATGCATCGATACCATCATCATCATCGACTTCTGAGATTATTCTAGGTCTGCCACTCCTTGCCTTGCCACGAACAGCTTTACCGCGAGCTGCCTTTGTATCATTTGAAGGTTGCGGCGCAGATTTATTCGATGATAAGTGAACAAAAGTCGTCGGTGGCGATGGTATTGCTTGCTGAACCTTTATTGAAGAACCAGCGTTATTCTTTTGACGTTTGGACTTTGCCTTTACTTCTTCTGAAGGAAGCTCACCGTAATCAAGAACTCGTATTCTAATAATCGATTTGAAAGAAAATGAATTAATAATAAATAATGGAATAGAAATTGCTGATAATTCGATTACTTACTTTCTTTTTTCTTTTGATTCTTTTTCATAACTTGCTTTTAATATTTTTTTGGCAACACGCTCTTTCTTAACGGCGATATGTGACTCGGCCGTATTTTTAGCGTACCCAACAACTTTGCCAACCAGCCCGACGCTGTTTTCATTTCCGTAGAAAGCCATCTCAGCCTTTTTACATCGAGAAAGATCTAATTGTATCTTCTCGGTTTCCCCGGTGGCGATTTCCTATTTAAGGTTTCAAATCAAATTAATAAAATAATATAAGCATCACAGATAACGAATCATATAAACTGAATATACCATTTTATCGGAGATGTTTATTTTCATATGGGCACCCTTGGCATTTGCTGTCATCAACTTCATGAAAACAGCATTTGATAAAGTTACTCTGTAAACCTTCTTTTCACCATCAGACGACAAACCAGGCCAATGAACGTTCGATATAGATGGTAAAGGTGGCGTATCTTTCTTTTCACTTCTTTTCTTCGAGGCAGTTTTTTCAACACCGCCATCCTTGGTGCGGTATAGTGGGTCCCTTCCTTTCCCACGATTCGTTTGAGCCGCACGAGCTACTACCGCACTTCTACTTGGAGAAGCACCTCTCACACGAGCCCCCGTTGAGCTTATAACGGGAGAAGCACCATCTCCATGAGTTGACATTGTGCCTCTAGTACCACGACCTGAAACGCCACCACGGTGTTTACCTCCACGGGTTGTTCCTCCACGAGTTAAATTAACC